GTAGCTAGAAGCTACTAGCAACAAGGTGCATCGCTTCTAGTAACAAGCGCCTTACTAGTAGTAGCTAGAAGCTACTAGCAACAAGGTGCATCGCTTCTAGTAACAAGTGCCTTACTAGTAGTAGCTAGAAGCTACTAGCAACAAGGTGCATCGCTTCTAGTAACCAGTGCCTTACTAGTAGTAGCTAGAAGCTACTAGCAACAAGGGCATCGCTACTAGTAACAAGTGCCTTACTACTACCCTGACTACACTCCCTGGAAGAATCATGGAAGTGGAGTGAAAACCTGTTTTGTATTCAGATGTATTCAGAAAAGGGTCGTCATCCATTCGGGGCCATGGTCCACTTCGATTTTTCCAGGAAGTGCAAAGCCTCCACACCCCGCAACAGTGCCCCATCCGCTGATTCAGCCCCGCCAGCCGCAGGGGGGGAGTAGGGAGGTATGGCGACCCTCATTGTTGCGGGACAAAAATGGTTAACAACAAAAACCGTTTACCATGTTGGAGGCCATGAAAGATCTAATCAATATATAACAATAATATTTGTTGCAGGTAATGTTCACATGTTGATGAAAGATCGTATTCCTGTGGAACCCTGGGCTAGAAGTCTTGCTGTCAATGATGACCTCCCAGCAATATATCCTTTGCATGATCGACATGGACTCGTGTGTGAAAGATGAATGCTCATCGGCATGTTGCTAGAGCCATTGGAATCAGCAAAAGGACACCCGGCGATTCAAGTCCCAACAGCCTTCAACCTTCAGTGGAAAAAGACGTTATATCCTGTTTGTTCCACCAACGTGCCGGAGTTTTGCACAACAGTTTAGCTCAAACACTGAGGCAAAGCGTGAACGCTCGGCTGACTCAGTTGGCACAGGCAGAGGGTGGGCCCAAGGCGGAAGGCTACGCAGGGCAAATAGGAAGCGAGCAACCAAGGCCCAAGACGCCTGGGAGCTTGCCAAAGATTCGATGGACTTAAGTAAACTAGCCAAGAGTATTCGCTTCTCGGAAGGTCAGCTGAAGAGATTCACAGGAAATGGATGGAACTCAGTATCTGACAGAAGGAATCGGAGGTTCTCGAGGTTTGTGGGTTTGGCGAGATCATCCACATTGGCAAGACTGGATGTTTGGGGCCAAAAGAGGAGAATTTAACTCTTCAAGCTGGTCCCAAAGACATTAACTATTCTTGGAATTGTTTGGGCACACCCGGCCTGTTATATAGTTGAAAGTACGGGATGGTGATCCCATAGTTGGGTCTTTTGAAGCGACGACTTTGCTGGGTTATATATGTGTCCCTTGGATGTCGTACTCTTACATATACATCAATCAATCCTTATATCTTAGCAAAAACTGTCTTCCAAGGAGGCAGCCTGGCAGGTTTTGCAATCAAGTCGATGTGTTTGATGTGTGTGTGTGTGTTTGTTTCAACTACTTTCTGGAATGTGGGACTCCTCTGCCCCATTCTCATGCCACATGTGCTTTATCATGACATCTTGGATAACCAAGTCAGAAGGACACCAAACTTAAGCAGATTGTGGCGGTCTCACAGCGTTGGGTGCCAGAGACGGCAGACAAATGTTCACCCCAAAGACCCAAACAGCCCACCAATTGAAGAACAAACCTCCGGAAGTTTCTTTTTTTTTCAGAGCTACCAGACAACCAGACAGAGACACCCCCCCAAGCCATCCACTGCAGTCACTGCAGGAGCTGTGGCCGGACCGTTCGCAACTTTGGGCCTTGATCCTGGATGCCCCGTCCCTCTCCTCCAGCCGAGCGCTGTCCGCTGACGGCTTCGGCTTCCGCCCGGAGCGGATCGTGGTGCCCAACGACGCGGAGCTGCCGGACACTGCGTGGCCGAAGAAAGGTGGCTCGGATGGGATGAGAACCTAAAAGAGATCGGGATAGGTCGGGGTGGCGACAGAAAGATGAGAGGAGGAAAGAAAAGGTGGACGACTGGGTGGCCTCGGACTTTCAGCATGCGTGGGCTTTCGCCGAAATGCTCAAAAACATCCTGAGCCTTGTTCTAAGAGGTGCTTCCCTTTGGCATTTGCATGAAAGGAGTTCTTTTTTACTTTTCGCTCCGTCTATCGCTGCTGCACTGAGCTGCCCAGCACGGCCCAGGGGCGACCATTTTGAAAGGCCTCAGCCTGAGCCGATTCCTTAAGGCGCTGGGCAGACGGTGATCGAAGGATTGAGTGTCATCATTAGATTGTGATGTAAAGCAGCATGTCATGAAGCACGGGATCTCTTCTTAGCAGCGTCACTGCACCACGGAACGCCAGGAACAGCGTGGCGGACGCTATGGGCCATTTCACTGCATCTACTTGGAGACTCAGCTGACGCGTCGACGTTGGAGACATTTAGAGACTAAAAGTCAGGACAAAGTGTCACAGGTGTAGATGGCTTGGAGATGCTTGGAGCTTCACCCGTGAATGAATTCTTTCTTGTGGGACCCCAAGAACAGAACAGACCTCTCCAAACATCTCCAAACCTGTGATCCCCCATGATGGGATGCTGTGGATTCAATGAGACTACCGATGGACCCTGACCCTAAGAAGGGAGTTCATTTTCCCTGTTTTGTGATTTGACACAATACCATGGAGTTCATGACACGTCCCGAACCCGAGCCTTCGTTCGCATGACTGGCCGCCTGACTGGCGGGGTTCGGTCGCCTCGGCCGCCTGAGGACTACACCGTTTGTTTGGATGGCAGCTGGAAAGCATCGCAAGAGTTGGAAGATCCCTTCCAGGACTTGGAGTTTCTTGGACGTTTCCCGCTTTTTCACTGGTGCGACGTAGGTATTTGGGTTGCATCATTGTTGGTGTAGTGTTGTTTACATGTGTTTTACTTCTTGGTGTAACACATGTAAACAGAAAAGGGAAACTGCTGCCGGACCTGTCGTGTAGTCAAGGTTTGGGCTCCAGGACTGTTGATGAAGAAGCCTGAGACTCGCAATGTTTGAGGCTCTGAGCTTCTGAGTTTGATGATCTGCGGTTCTGAGGGGTTTCAAGACTGCGATGAGCCGAGTTTGGAGCCCTTTGTCCTCTTGATGGTCTTGTTTAGAACCATACGGATGCTCTGCAGGTTCTTTGCGCTAAGGTACCTCATAGACGAAAGATGTATAACATCTTGGTTGATGTATTTCCAGCTTTGGACTGCTTCCAGCATTCAACACCATCGTCTTCAACACATGCCATGTTACAGTTCACCGGGATCCCCTTCGTTCGTTCGGGGGTCGACCTCCGAGGACGGCACAGATGGATTCTTCGAGCCCCTTCGAGGAGCGGGGACCGACCGGCTAGACCCGAGCGGTTTTTGTTCTAGAGACGGTCAGAGGGAGGAGTTTGTGCGACCGGTTTGGAGTGCCAAAAGTTGAAGGCAGCCTATCGTTCAAACCTCTCGGTGCATCGTGAGCGTCTCCAAAAAGTTTGGCGTAAAGACACTCGCCTTCTTCGCAACGACCGAAACGCTGGAATCTGAGGATTTGGAGAGTCTTTTTGATGGGCATTTGGCTGAGGGAGAGCCTTGGTTTTCTATTCTGAGAGGTGCCGGGAGACTTTATACACCGTGATACACTTGATTACACTTGTAATTACGGGAATTTGGTGGAGCTTTCCATAGGCTTTGGGTTCGAAAACAAGGCTGGTGCATGATGCAAATCCAGGCAATTCATCGGCCCTTTTAAGGTCTGACAGATTCCTTTACAAATTGATTGGTGGATTCCGGCAGAATGGGGCCCTTTTCAAACCACCCAAGCAAGCCCAACACGAGGTCGGATCTGGGAACACGAGGGCTCCCATGTCCAGAGGCTCCCTTCCATCGTTTCGGAAGCAAACTTTCAGGGTCAGAAAAAGCATTGCTCCATTCGTAGCGTCCTTGTTCCTAGTAGTATGGCTTGGAGCCCCTAGTAGCGTCCGAACGCTCCTAGTTGTAATTTTTGGGGGTATAGTACATGGTTTTTGTTTTTAGCCCGCTACTGCTACTATACTGAATCAAGTCAGGTGCCTAAATGATTGAGGGAGGAGTAAGCCAATCGGAGAAGTTCGCTCCTAGCTAGGATACAGGATAGCTCACGCTTCCTCAAGGAACAAAGAAGTGCTCGCACTAATGATTTGGTTCCGAGATTTGTAGGGAAACTTATTGTTTTGTCTTTTGATTGTGCAAATTTACAGTGTTTCTTATTCTTTTGTGTTGCTTCCTCTGCACTAAGGACCTGCTACTGGCGGTGACCTTGGCACAGCTCAAATCTCCCCAGCGCCGCGTGCGCAGCAGCACCCTGACAGCAAGCACGGTGGAGGTGCCCCACCAGTGGCAGCGGCTGCGTTTGCGGCTTGGCAAACTAAGGAGCTAGTAGTAACAAGTGCCACGCTACTAGTAACAAGTGCCTTGCTAGTAGTAACAAAAAGCTATTAATGAACGTAACAAAGAGCATCGCTACTAATTAGGAGCGATCGAACGCCACGAAGGGAGAGTTTCCTTGGGTCGTGGGTCGAAGGGTCGTGCGTGTTCAACTCCGACCCACGATCCCGTGAAGTCAGGTGTTTTCGGAGAAAGCCATGGCAAAATGGTAGAAGTACACAGTACACGTGGGTATTTGCAGAAGAAACATACAGAACACCACCGTACCAGTGCCTTACCAGGGAATACGATGGAGCACTTCAATGTCACCCAGTGCTACGGAACCACGGACGGTCGGAGGGTCCGATCCAAGGAAGGTGCTGGATGGTGCCGGTAGACTCTTGATTCATTAAACAATTATATAACTTAGATGAAAAGGTTTTGCAATCCAACTGAGGGCGTTGCTTTTTATTAAAACAAGAACATGCATGACCATGGAGTTTCGATCCAGGTGTGGTGGATCAAAGCTCCTCAAATCATGCGACTTTCAGGATCAATGAGCATTTCCAGAGATCGACTGGTTGTACCACCACTGAAGGCCACCTTTGGAAACTCCACACTCAACCCACTGTCGAGTTGTTGAAAGAATTGTTGGATGGTTTACCACCGGTCCGGGTTGGACACCCAACGTCTTCCGCACCACCTAGCGCTGGGCACACCGTCTTTCTGCGTTGCGCAGCTCATTTATGTCCTTCCAGCACCTCACTCTTGACCGGAACGCTCAGTGTTCTGTAAATTTGTTGAGGGACTTCTTGGGCCAGCTTTGGAAAAGCTGGTTTCTGTTAGAAAACTCAAGTCTGGAACCTGCTATCAGAGGCAGCCCTCACCTTCCAAAGCCAAGCCGAAGAGGCCATAAACAGCAGGGCACCTGCTTATAAACCATGAAGCAAAGCACATGCCTCAAAAACATATTTAAAGGCAGTGACGGAAATTTCTCCAAACAATCGCCGGAAGGGTAGGGCTATTCCCAGGCTTCTGGGCGCCTTGTCCTTGAAGTACCGCGCGCGCCACGAGTCCTGCTGTGTGTCGCTGGAGCATCGCGAGCTCCGAAACGTCTCCACCGAGCTCTTTCTGCTGGGCAGCAGCGTGCGGCTGAAGCAGCTGCTGGAGAAGGTGGGGATTTCTTGGAGCGATCAAGACAAAGGTTAGGGAGAAGCCACCAAACATCACCAAACCAATAGTTTGTTTGTTTTTTCTATAGTTGTTGAGAGGATAACTCTATTTAGGCATCTGCGATATGGAATGTTGATTGAAACACCAGATTCGTGAGTGAAAGAACGAGCATATGTAGTAGTATCTAGCTGCTATGTTGGAGTGTCTCTTCCGGGAGTTGCTAGCTAGTGCATCCAAGCACTCATTAGCTTCTTGCTCCTAGTAGTAAGGCCAGGAGCCCCCATGGAACCATTTGGGCTGCATAGGCCAGATTCTTTTCTCGCAATCCATGTGGGGTTTACGGGTTTGGCTCAAGGAGTCAATGTAGGTAATCCAATGCTCCACATATTATTATTTGGGTATACCGTGTTTGTACATAGTAACTGTTCAGATGGACCTATGACGAGGAGCTACTCTATATGCTACCATCTTCTATACTTGATGGTGGTCTTAATGGGATCACCTGCATTGGATTTGTCATGATTTGTCTATTTTCGGTGCCAGGAGCTTGAACGAGTCCGACTGTGAGAAAGGCGAGCGTTCTCGTTCTCAGCGACGTTGGGGATCGACATGGAGACGCATTCAGTTGAGAATGTGGAAGGATGGTTTTTGAAATGCTTCACAGGTTGCTTGAGTTCGGAGGTATATACCAGTTGCTGCCAGCCAAGAGCTGTAGTGACATTCACAGACAGTGGAGCGATAGCTTACTTGATCATTCAACAAAAGGAAAAACACACATCAGCATGCAGTATAGTTAAATCATATGCCAATTAGATTCCTGAAATCATCAACCCACATTAGCTGCACCGCACTTGAGAACAGTCTTCATTGCTTCATTGTACCATTTTGAGTGCTACTAGTATAGTTTTGGACAGCATGCCTCGGTCCGCAGGTTGCGCATGCCAGTCCACTTGGTGGTGAAAAGCCGAACGGATCCTCAGCCAACGGTCACCACCGGTCAGCCGGCGGAAACCCATCCAGTGAAACTGGGACTTGGAAGGCTGACGCGAGGAGACTTCAGCTTTGGGTCAATGTAGGTACAGATTTTATGGACTTTTTTGGTCAGTATAATCATGACCTACATGTAAATACGTGTATATATATATATTATGTGTATCATCAACCCTTTCAAGATGAGAGCATTTCGTTGTTCCACTGCTTTTGCCTCCACGGAACCGCTGAAGTTGACCGGACCACGGAACGCGCGTGGACTCGGTGGGACCCCACGCCCGTCCCGCTCCATGAAGACGAAGACGAGCAGTCGGTCTGGACCAAAACCGAGCGGCAATGAGCGCCACACCGCGAGACATCGGATGATCTGGGACAAAAGAACTTGAGTCTGTTTGAAGCGCTGCGCCCTGCTGTTTGTGAAGCCTGCGTCCCAGTTGGAACCCGTAAGAGATAGAGAAAAGTGCTTACTAACCATCATCATCCACAGCCGGGATATACCTAAGCGATGTCCAGTTGATCCCATGACCTGTCGGACTGGGCACCCGCAACATCGGTTTATGGGGTTGATGCCCGTGCAGAACAACTGCATGTAGGTGTCAAAATGTTTCAAGCTACCATCGTCGTCATCATCATCATGATCATGCACACATGTTTGACTATTGTTCATGTGTCACCGATGTGCCTAGATTCCCAATGAATCCGTGCAAATACTCCCGCTGTTGTTGTATTTGTGTTTCTCAGTGGTTCAGAGGCAGCTGCCAGCAGTGCTCTCAGCTTCCTGCTGCTCCCTTCGCAGTACATGTCCTTCTGTTTTGTGCTTGGTTCATGACTGATCATGTCGCCTGCCTACCTGTTCATGGTTGATTCAGGCCACCTAGGATGCCCCCCAAAGATGTTTCTTGTTCGTGTTGAGTGCTGGTAGGTCCTAGTGTGTGAGATAGACGGTGGCTTTAATGATGAATCACCGGATCATTCGTCCGAGTATGAGTGAACATGTGTCCCTCCTCTTATTGGGGGTGTCTCTGTCTCAAGGTCGACTCTCTCGCTCTAGTCATACCCTATGACAAATAAACTACTGTGCTATACTTTGCAAGTAGCGTCCTTGCTCCTAGTAGCGATGCCCTCTGCTCCTAGTAGCGAATTGCTATTCTTTGCTGCTTTGGAGGCCGAAATTTGAGATCCAAATCATTCCCTCAGACGACAAGCTCAGTTGGTCGTCGAAATTTGGGGGTCATTTTGTAGGTGCAGTTGATTCGGACTAGATGTCACACACTCTTGATAATTATGTTTGATTATTTCATATTCTTTCGATATATGGAGTCTTATGGGTCCTCATCAAGAAATCATCCACAGAAGCTTGTACCATATCTTACTCCCAAACCATGAATCTTCCATGTCTCCTATAGGTCTTGACCATGCACCGCTCTTTGGACCAGTTTACCATCAACAGGAAAACCACGACCCCAGTGTTTTTTTTGTTTCCGCGATTCCCCTTCGCTGCTGAGACTTCGCACCGCGTTCGAACGGCAGGCAAGGCCTGATGCACTTCGGCACCAAGGCCGAGCAAGCCGAGCAGGTCGGCGGCCCCGGTGCGATCCGCAGAGGTCCCGGAGTGGCCGAAACCAGGTCCGGATCGGTGTCCCTCCGATCCGCATCCACCCGGCGTCGGAGGTTCCATATGATAGTTTTCAAAGGTCAACGCTCCATCTTGTCAAGCTCCCTAGAAATGTAGGGATATTATGGGATATTATATATGGATATTGATCGATATTGCGTATCTAAAAGCATGTTGATCTACTCCTTTCTGAACAAACTTGAAGACTACCAGAGAGGCTGTGGTGGTCTTAGTCTTGAATGACCTCTACACGGGGTGGTCTACGAGTTTCTTTTATTCTGCGTTGGAGACAGATCTACAGGTTCATCCTTTCATTCTTTATACTGTACATGTTTATCCTGGGATTTGTGTTAAAAACTTAACAATAGTTTGGAGCCCAAACGAAGGGCTATTCTTGAGCAGTTGGAACTATATAATTCAGGCTAGATTGCAACAGCAATTGAGTTCGGCAGCTTTAGCAGTGGCACTCCTGGCCGACCCTTGGCCGGCGAGTCGTCGTTCGAGCGCCCCAAAGCGAACCCAGGGCGCACCCGCTTCTGACGTTTGGTCGCCTCCTCGTGAGGTGAGCGACGTTTCGCCCCGCCAGGTGGTGAACGAGATGGATGTGGGGCGAACAGGACAAGCAGGGAGGCTCAGGCTGAGGAGGCTCAGGCGAAATCATCCGGAATGAAGAGGGGTCGTTCTTTTTTGTCTATTTTGCTGATATCAGATGTCTTCTTCACTGTTCTTGTGCGAGTTAGCTTGAGCTCTTTGACCCGAGAAACGATCAAAACTACTGTCGATCTTGCTTTTCGGTTGCCCTCGCCCCTCATTATTCACCCCTCCCTCACCCTTCCCTTCCCCATGTCAGTGCGCGTGCCGGCCCCCACTCGTTGCCCCAACTTGGCCAAGGTCTCCTATACCGAGTTCCTGGCCGGTGTGATTAACTTGCGCTGCAAGACCCCGGAGGCGTTGAACTCCGGTCTAAGACAGCACAAAAAAGAATAACTCCATGTGGGTCAATCCGCTGTGGTTCGGTTTTGGTGTTCGGGACTTTGGGAAAGCCACATGTTTCTTGGAATCAGGCTGGTTTACCTGGAGCCGGAGGTTTGGAATCACCGAAGCTATTGGTTCCCACCTCAAAGGGCTTTGAACTTGGTGCACATGGATTTTCTGGTCGAACCCGAAGTTTCCGGGTCTTGCGCGTCTCATTTTCCTCTCCTTTGGGCAATGCCTGACAGTCATCATCATGTCATCATCGTGTATCATCCATGCATCTGGGTATGTTTTTGCCAGATCCTCACGTCCAAGGCACGTCAAACACCTGAGAAGAAGGAATATGTTGACACATATGAATCTAAGAAAACGCACCCCTGGCAGTGTTTTTTTCTCCTGAATACACGCCCCAAAAACGAAAACGACCCACATCCACACCCTATGACGGACCTCCAGGAGCAGGACCGGCTCTTGTCCATTGCCTGGGCGCAGTTCCGCCCCGACAGCAACGGAGAGGCCATGAAGAGAAGCCGGGGAGGAGCATCCCTACTAGTAGCAAAGGGCATCGCTACTAGGAGCAAGGACGCTACTAGGGGCTCCTGGCCTCGCTACTAGGAGCGTTCGGACGCTACTAGGGGCTCCTGGCCTCGCTACTAGGAACAAGGACGCTACTTGGAGCGGGGAGGAGCATGGCATCAGCGTGTTGGGCGTTTTGTTGGGGCACCAGCGGAAGGATTCGGTTGGAGGCCATTGCTAGTAGGTTGGAGGCTATCGCTATAATCTATTAGCAACTCAAAGAAACATGTACGTCGACTTAATTTCATTAGTTCGGAGGCCATCGCTATCAAAACCGGGGATGCTGAACTTTGTGAGGCCAGCGGTTTTCGCAGAGGTTTTTCACGCTCCCTCCCAGTGGAGTGGGTGTACCCGTACACATCCGTAGAATTCCGTAGATCTCCTCGTTTTACATTTTTAAAACCAAACTAGATATGAGAATATATCAGCTTGGCTTTATAGTATAATGCATCGTCCATCAATGGTCGACCATCACCAAACATGACGTCAACGTAGACCGCGTAGACCCACCAACACTCCTGATGGGCCCGGACGAGGGACAATCTTCGGACGCTTGCACGAGTTCGACCGAACGAGGCTGAGGCTTTGGTGAAAAATGGTGCCTTTTGGGGGTTCCAAACATCCAAGGCCACAGGGAGGTCATGTCCAAGCCAATGTGGCCATGTCCATTGTAAGAAAAAATACGATGAGTCTGAGATGTTCAGGTTGTGAAAAAGAGACAAGTCCAAGAAAAACCGAGGAGTCTTGCTGGGAGAGTTCTCCCGAATACGCTGAATGAAGCTGAAATCAGAAGCTGTGGGCCCGCCATGTCAGTTGTGATGACCATGTCATCCACCAGTTTTTGGGTAGAAGCCCTGTGGCCCTCCTTCATCCCAGCTTTACCGCGACGATGTTTGAAGTGACAGGTGAAGGTGCAAGACATCCAGAATGCCTTGGCCACACGAGGAATGACCGATCGGAACCCTGGGGGAATCCTGCAAACCGGGCTCGGAGGAGGGTGAGAAGCAAACCTCAGCGGTCAAGGGCTGGGGCCTGGGGAAGTTTGCTCATCAGCTGGCGTGTATAGTTGGGCTTTTTCAGGGGGGCTGGCGCCCAGGAACAGACCGAAAACTGCGTCGATGCCGGTTCTTTGGGCACCAGAAAGGTAAGAAACACTGTAAATCGCATTGGTTCTTGTTCCAAGAAAAAAGCCTTGCAAATATCATGATGTGTCGCTTCCCGAAAAGCGTTGTAGATATGGGGAATTGTTGGCTTCAACATCGGTATTTACATTGACTCAATAAGTTTCTTGAGAATGGCCCTTTCTCATATGCCCAATTCCTGCACGCGCACGCAAACAACTGGGTGAGAAAGGTAAAGTCACAAACACACCCAGAGAGCTACCTGTGAATCAAGACCAAGCCGCGCGGTA